AGGCGTAACTGCAGGCAATCATAAGTCGGCTTGATGCACCACACATGCCAGCCCGCCAGCGTTCAATAGCAATCTGGAGAGCATGCCTGTGTCAGAGTTCCAAAGTTCTTTGAAGAGACGCCAGGCCTCACAAATGTTTCTGATTAATACAACCCGGAGACAGAACTGGAGCTGCAGTTTCATTGTATCAGTGGTAACAAAATAGCTGAGATTCAATAAACCAGAAAAGCTCAAGCCATGCCAAGACTACATGTCTTCCCTAACTGCAACATAGCCAGCTGAGAACCTGCAGAGGTAATGTCAACTGATCCGTACCACTTCCCTCCAAAGTTTGGAAAAAGTTCTTTTTGAGGGTAGGGGTAGAGGTTGCCATGTCCAGGAGCATGGCTGATGGCCATACTGGCTGTGAGATTCTGGGAGTAACGATTTCGAAGTTCCAAGTTCCATCACTTTGGAACATTCATGTCATGTATATTAATAATTAATAAACAACAACTAAGGTGGTGTTTCCATTTGTATCTGCTACACAAGAGAATTCTGCTTTTCCTTTCTCTACTTAAATCCACACATTGACTACATTTTTAGAACCCATTCCCAGTGTGACTGCCCTAGAATTCTTAGCTAATGTTCTCTTTTATCTAGCACTTTGTGGGCATTTTTCCCCTCTGGAAAATCCAGGCTGAGATAATTTAACAAAGAGCTGCCAACAATTGCATAAGATAACAATGTGTCTCACATACATTTGCTTGATTGAATGGGCTGCTGCCATAGCAGAAGCAGTGCCAGGTTTTCTGTCTTTCTCACACCATTATCTGACACTAGAGGGAGCTGAAAAGCAGTCACTGTGTGATGTGAGTTTCCCAAGCCAGAAAACACCTCTAATGACTAAACTGGAGGAACTTCTTTATAGCTTCAGTGTGGAGGCTATAAAAGAAAAAGATGCATAGAAACAAAATAAAGGCCAGTACGTTTCACTAGGATCTACTCTCTCTCTCTATATATATATATAATATTCCACTTTGTGGTGTGTAATACACCACTATATATAATACAGTACACCACTTTTATAACCAAATAAACCCGTGTTTTGCCTAAGGCTTACATGGGAATGCCTTAGTTGTTATTTTTCTGTTTCCAGGAATTGCCATATTATCTTCCTGTAGTGGACTTTTCAAAAGGAATTGTAATACCTGCATTATCTGGAAGATGAGTCGAGGCAACTGGACCTCATTCTTATTCGTCGTCGTTTAGTCGTGTCCAACTCTTCGTGACCCCATGGACCAGAGCACGCCAGGCCCTCCTATCTTCCACTGCCTCCCGTAGTTGTGTCAAGTTCATGTTGGTTGCTTCGCAGACACTGTCCAGCCATCTCATCCTCTGTCGTCCCCTTCTCCTCTTGCCATCACACTTTCCTAACATCAAAGTCTTTTCCAAGGAGTCTTCGCTTCTCATGAGATGGCCAAAGTACTGGAGCTTCAGCTTCAGGATCTGTCCTTCCAGTGAGCACTCAGGGTTAATTTCCTTTAGAATGGATAGGTTTGTTCTCCTTGCAGTCCAGGGGACTCTCAAGAGCCTCTCAAGTGATTCAACCAAATAAAGAAGCCCAGTTACCATGACTCAACTTCCAGATAACCTCACCTGGATGACTGATAATCTTCACAGATATAATACCTGCATTGTTTTGTAGTTCACCAAGCTCCTAATTTCCATTTTGGGACTGAGTTTAACTGTGGCTCACAAGGATTTAAACTATCTAAGCCCATCCTCTCTCTTCCCATTTATTTAGCCTCAAGATTTCCGAAGAACTTGAGAATATGTGTGCTTTGTGATTTACAGCTGATCCTAATAAAAGCATAACTCTTAATTAGGCAGCAGTTTATTCTAATAAAAGTGTTGCCCACATGTCAGATTTGGAGTTTGTTTTACTCTTGAGAGGCATTCCCATTAAAACTATATTTCATGTGGTCAGTATAACATTTGGAAAACCATTGATACGTGCTTCAGGCAACTGGTATGCTTTAAGTTACTCTGGCTGGCATTGGTGTGCAGATGCTGTTGGGTACTGAGTCCAGCCATTTTACCAGGCTATGTCCTGGCAGTGTCTCTAATTGCTACTCATCTTCAGGGTTTTATAATAAGATATTTGTTGCTTATTCCATAGGCACAAGGATGTAAAGACTGCTGCTTTAAATGTTGGGATCAACCATATATTTGCAAGTAGATCCATGTGAAGTAATGCATTCTAGTTAAGCATTTCTTTAGACTTGATGCTAGCAACCTATCCATGAATAAGCATGTCAGCAAAGCCACTAAAAGCAACATTTCATTCTCCTACAATGAATTTTCTTTGATTGTTGGGAGTGAGATTACCAAGACCATAGATGGAATAAAGTAGGACTACTACCAGGATTCACTGGTGAAGAAAATCTTCAGCTTGTCCTGTATCTGGAGTATCACCAAATAGCATTATCCACAAATAAATACATATTATTGCATATATAAACTACACCTTTAAAGAACTCCAGCATGTCCTCCCACTCCAACACTGTCCAAACTTCAGGTAACAATATTCTTGCCCAAATGTGATCAGTTGACAGATGATGTGTGATGAAAGAGACACAAAAGGGATTGTAGGAATAGGACTTGATGACAGAATTTGCACTTATGTGGATTTCCTTCTTTTCTCACATCCATGTTTGGCCTATGCCCCTGGACCTTTTCAGGATTGAAAGTGTAATTTCATCTTTATGGTGGTATTTTTTTAATGGTATGCATTGCTTGAGCACATTTTCTCTTTGACTAAAGCACATTTTAGTAGTATTTGGAATGTGCAGATTTTTCTATGCTTCAAATACGCACATTTCTTCTTGAAAGTGTCCACAGTTGTTCAATATTCAAGAACTGAAAGCTGGGTCCAGTCTGAAAAAGATGGAGATGATGGATGTGACAAACCCTTTGAATTATAGGCTGAAATTCAATTCTTCAGACAACCTCGGAGACCAGGAGATGGAGCCCCTTTTGCAAAGCAGAGTTCTGATAAAACCATCACCTGATCAGGAATCTAAGGATTGACAAATCTTTCAAGTTTTGCTCTTTCACACATTGGAGTTTTGGTAAATCTTGATTAGAAATAAACATATCAAATTCTCACCTGTCCCTTAAAAGGGTCCTCCAAAAGCTAGCAATATAACAAGCTGAAATGCAAGTTACAGCTATTTTTAAAAGATTTAGCCATGGAATTTTTTGACTGTGCCAATAAAATATTTTTTTTGAAAAAATAAATAAATAGTAATGTGGTTCTAAATGTATAATTGTTTGCTATGTAGATCATGGTGGCCGTGCCTCATGCTTTCCTTTAATTAGCACAAAATGAAGTATGTGTGGCCAGGGAAAGCCAGTAAGTGTTTAGTTAGCAAAACAGGAGCTAAAACTACTTTCCCATGCCAAGTCGTGAAAAGTATTATAACTTAGAATTTCTGTGATATTTTTCTTGAACTAGTTTCTTGGACAGACGGCTATTGCTTTTTTAAAAAGAAAACAATGGAGCTATGAAAATTTTTATTTTATGCAGTCTGCATGGGCTGGAACACACATCATAGGTCTCAGCCCAAGGGCTACACCATGGAGGTCTCTAAGTTGAAAAAAGTTTTTTTTTCCGGCGTGGGAGCAGAGGAAGACAAGGAGAAAGAAGAGTTGCTCTTGGATTACATCCTCTCAAAAATGGCTAAAATGATTTCTTTGTTAAATGCTATGTAAACATACTCACTTCCATCATGAATATTAGTAAGAAAATTATTTTACAACAGTGCTATAGTTTATGAACAAGGTAGAAAGGAAAACGCTTCCAAGCTAATTCTTTAAAAATGGATTATTAATCACAGTTAACTATTTTGTGATCCAGTTCATAAATATTCTATGGACATGCCCACACAACAATCTTTTTCTGTTCTCCAGTATTCCAGCTGCTGGCTGCTCTCACTAAAGCATTTTTGCTAATTCATCATCTGAATGAAATTTGATCAAATGGAATCAGAACAGGAAATCTTTAATTACAAAAAAACTCACCTCTCCTATATGACTGGCAGTGGCAAATTACCAGTAGTTAATGAGTTCCTGCATTGATCCCAGGGCTCCCCTGCAATGAGAGTGATTGTGGGTGACCCCTGAAATTGAAGCAGGAACTCTTTAGTTGCCAGGAATCTCCCTCTGATGGTGTTGTCAATCCTTTGCAAGTGTAATATACTCAACAGGATTTTGACCATAGGATTGAGCTGCATGTCCCACTGAAAACAAGACACAAGTTAATTGTGGCTCATTTGTTCTAATGGTTTAAAATGGATCTGTATGATTTAAATTTAGTTGGATTGAGGGCTAGTTAAACTTTAGAAACAACTCACAACTATGAAGTCATATAGAAAGGACTGTTGCTACATATTATTAACAGAGATAATACCTTTTAAAAGTTTGTTGAGAGGTTTCTTTTAAATAGGAAAGATAAATATACAAACTGAGAAAGAGAAAATTGACAAAGTTAAACTGACATCACAAGAAATCAACTACAAAGGTACTGGAATGCATAGACAGTGAGATGATGTAACATTAATTAAAATAAATGACAACATACTGAATCTCATGATGACTTCAGATATGTGGCCTAATTTAATGCAAATTCTAAAATACTGAAGTACAAAGATTAATTTACCCTAAGTGAATGGCTGAAGGCTTCTGAAAGTTTTACATTTCCTAGCTGGAATTTTTTTATTGGATCAAGAGGCATTTTTGCTTTCGTCTATTTCAGATCAATGGAGAGTGATCTGAAAACTGGACCTCATTTTTGTAAAGTAAGGATGTGGAGGACAGTGGGTAGAAAATCATGCATTCATTTCCAAAATCTTTGGCATGATTATCATCATAATACTTCCAGGGAAGATTATAGCTAACAACACTGTGAGAAATTTCTGCTTAAAAGAGAGTCATTAAAGTACACAACATATCGGCAGTTTTCAAATGATTTTAATAAATAATGAGGATTTGTTTCTTTCCTATATAAACTATAAATATACCATAGAGTCCTCATAACTTAAAATAATTTACAGGCTGAGGTAGGGGGCTGGGAAGAGGGGTGTATGGGTATGTGTGTTGGTCAATCTCAGAGGTTCTCAGTTTTCCTGCTGATTACACACACACAGGCAGTGTCAATCCGAATGAAGCGCCAGGCAGCCTGCTTGCCCTCCATGGTAAGTGCCCTGACAAAGGTATGTGTAGTGGTGCAGTAGGAATTCCAATGCCTGGCATCAATGCCTCTGCACCCACTGGACACTGGCTTAGGGTCTCTGCACTTGGTCTCAAAGAAGTACTGCTTGTAAGCAGCGTTGTTATAGTCTACTTCCAACATCACAGTCACCTCTTTGCCTTTGATGTCAGTTGCTGTGGTTTTGTTGCTGACCCACACACTAACACTGTCACATACAGAGTACTCTCCTCGGTTATGTACAGGATGAGTTGCACGCTTGGTCCGGATATTCCTACTGAGACCATCTGTACTGTCTAAGAACTCCATGCTCTGCCCATCCCTGGACAAAGGTGGTGGCTGAGTGCTGAACAAAACCCGAGGGGACTGGAACCGCCTCTTCTGAAAAAGCTTTGGATCCACAAAGACGTTTGCATATTGCCCAGTTTCTCTGTCCTCTACCTTCCCAACAACAGGCTGGTTTTGGTCTCTGTGCCGAGTTGTTTTCACAATGTGGTGTGGTTTAGTCCGTCTGCTTTCAGAAATGTCAGATGTGGCAGGAGACCCCAGTGGTGCATTATCTTCAGCTTTTGGTGCTGCCCATATGCCGATCAGAAACGCTATAATCAGAGTGTAGCACAGCATGGACATTACGCTATGCACCTAGGAGAGAACAGACCAGGAACATTAAGTGAGCAAAGATGACACACAAAAGGGTCCATTTCAAATCTAGTAGAGATGTTCTGCTGACACAACCACCGCAGTAAACATTACTATGAAAGTATGTCATCTTCTTTATGGGGCCCTGGCATGTGGACACCAGATGTAGATTTCCTCCCCATCCCCTTGCAGAAAGAGTCATTCAAACAGGAATAGTGGATTCATAAAGAAGGAATACTAGCAAATAATAGCTGGATTATAGTTAATTCCTTTGGTACTTCTTACTAGCAAAGGGTTTATACATGAAGCAGTTCTTTAGAGTTTCTAAGGTGAAAGCAAACCCCAGAAAAAGCCTCCAAGGGCTGGTTACATAGAAATCTCTGAGACAGTATGTGGTGCAAAAAAGAAATAAAGTATATTAAATACACCCTCTCTTCTAGTCTGTTGAAGGTTCACAAGCATGTCTAAAGAGTACAGAAAGGCTATCCAAATGTGTCTCTAGCCAGAAAGGCCACTCAAATATATCTCTAAACAAATATGTCTCCAGACTAAATGCAGGCACTTGGGTGGGCAGGGGGAAAAAAACTTCCAAAAAAAACTTCTCCAACTTCAGCTTCCTAAGAGCCTATTTAGATAATAAGATGGTAATCAATAAAAAGCTGGCATACTGTAATAAAAGACTCCACGTACTGCCTTGAAGCTGACAGGTCGTTAAATGCAGAACTATAAGCTTCCCCAGAGAAGGAACAATACAGTAAAACTAGAGATACTGTCCAACACAAAGTTAACTTGGCTTATGGACAATAATGTCAAGGTGCACTTGCTCTGCCTGTGGTATCATCGGGACAAATGTTCAGACAATTATCTGCTTTATAACTTATTTAGTGTAGCTTGCTATTCGGAGCCTGATGTTTATCTCTAAAATCAGTTTTGAAATGCTTGCCAACAAAGAAGAGCAACAAGTGTGATGTCCAACACATCTTAGGTCCTCTTTCTGCCATTTGTTGTGACTGTGGCTATTGCAGGTCCAATAGTTTCTATGCAGTTGATTCTTTTTTGTTTTTAATCTAAGGCTGACTTTAAGGATACAAACAGAGGGGGCGCAGGTACAAAGTACCAATCAGTGAGCATTCCTGATTGGTACAGCACTTAGAAGTAAGGGAAAAAATGCAAGGGACAATCTAGCAAACCTCATTGGGGCAAATCTCATTAGAGAAGCTTGAGAGATAGAAAGACAGATCCTGAAGATGATGGAGAAAAAGCAGTCCGCAAACAAAGTGTAGACTCAAGAATGGCACTGAGCTCATTTTTTTCTCTGTGTTCTGTTAGAACAAAGTGGCAAGGTCTGCTGCTGCTTTTTCCAAGGATAGAATTGTAGCAATCTGCCATTCCCATAAACCTAAGAATTTAATGGCATAAAAAGTTGCGATAATAGGCCCACTGAATAAATGGAACTTACAGAAAAGCTGATACTCCAAATCTCTACTTCCACAGACTAACATGGCTACTTAAAAACAAAACACTGATTCAATGGGACTAATTTTTAGTTGCAACTTGCTACACTACACAACAGGATTGCAGATGTCTTAGGATTGGTTCACTAAGTTTTCTTGAAAGGTTCATACAGTAAAATCAAGATACAACTTATTGAAATCCATCAGTAGCCTCCACATTTGGTGTTTCACATAGTTACTTGCTTCAAATTCTGAGCGAATAGGAAATGAGAGCAGGTAATAAAAGTATGTTAAAGATGGTGCCGAAGAGTGAATTTGCTGCATGAAGCTACACTGCTCATTTTATTACTCAGTTAACTAATACATGTGACTTTGCAATCAGCCTGTAACATGGAGTCCAACTAGTAATGAAAAGGAAGAATTAAATACCAAGGAACACAAGTCAGATGCTGCCTTTTGCACGTGCAGATCCGTGCAGGTCTAGATTCTATACAATATGTGCAATTAACATGCAAACATGGAGAATGGACTGCACATTATTTCAGCTTGATTCACACTAAGGAACGCTATAAATACTCAGAGAATATACCTTTAAGGTGAAGTAATACTAGCAAAGGTGGGTGAACAGTGCAAACATAGGTCCTTGCAAATTAAGTCAAGAATGTTCACAACAGTTTCAACACTAAAAATGTTACTGTTGTGTTACTAAGGAGAAAATATGGTCTGACAGATGGGAATGCAAACTGGATTGGTCTCCATTGCTGTAACACTTAACCAAATTGTCTCTGTATATAGTGCAATGTGATCCCTGCTGTCTCCAGGCATTTTGTTATCTGAGATAGAACAAGTTATGCCCTTCCCCGCCCATTTCTGAGAAACTCTGTCTTGTTCCAGAATCCAAGATACTTTTCCACAACAAGATTCTTTTCTGTTACCTCTCGTTCTGCATTCACTCCACCCTCTTCCGTTTCTGTAACACTTTCCTATGGTCAAAAATTAGCTTTAATTTTCGAGCTATTGAAGGCTCTTATAAAGGGGCAATGATGTTGCAATCAGTGATGGTCTCTTTTCTATAATTCAAGGGCACATGGATCAGTGCACTGGACCAAGCTAGTTATCCCTTTTAACACTCTTTCTAATCATTTTGTGATTGATCAAATGATTAAAATCATTTAATGACTTGTACACCCTTGGCCTTAATTTAATGACCCTGTTGTACTCACAAACAAAAGTTAAACAGTGATAAATATAAACCTCTCATAATTCATCCTTACTAAAATAGATATTCTGTTTTGTAGTGACCTTATGGAACAGATGACAGTAGCTATTTCAGATGAGTAAATGTAGAACAGATTTGGGTTTGTTTTAAAAGCAGCATTCAATGCTTTGCTAGAGAAGATGACCTCAGGAACATTGGGAAAAAAAGGTCAGAAAAGACATCCTAAATATAGTGCATGCTGCGTATTATTATTATAATATAAAAATGCAGGAGTTTCCTTTCCAGGAAACATACACTTGAATTCTTAAATGAAAGAATCAGTTTCCCCAAATCAACATTAGCCAGAATTAGTGGGAGGAAATCTACACCCGCATGAGAGAAATCATTTAAGTGGTAATGACAAATTGCTACTCATTAATGACATCCTGCCTGGGCCATAAATCTAGGAATGCAACTAGCACCTCATTAATGAGAGGCAATTTGCAACTGCGACTTGCACAATTTCCTTTACTCAAATAAACAGCCAAATGCTTGTGGCCAGTGAAATTAACAACCCTGTAGATTTCAAACACAAAATTATTAAATGAAACAATTTCAGTGAACATCTTTATTTTGCATTAACATTTACAAAGGGGCAGTCATATCATGTAGTCTAGTGGACAGAATGAAGAATGAGGACTCAGGAGACCTGGGCTCAAATCCCTGTTCAGCCATGGAATCTCACTGGGGGTGTGGAACTAGTAAAACCTTAAATGTGTCACTTACCTTAAAAGCCCTATTAGACTCACTATACATTGGTTCCAACGTAACAGCATCTAACATAACATAACAGCCATATTATAATACATTGCATTAAAACAACGATGAGATGAGCTATACTTTCAAGACTAACAGATTTACTGCAACATGAAACTTTCAGAGCACTTGCTCATTCATTGTTACCCTAGAGGTTCAGTTTTCCTGAAGGACCTGGTTGGTGTGGGACATTAATCAAGAGAAGAGGGGAAAATTAAGTACAGTGACAGCAAAATTCCAGTGTCAGTTCTGCTTCCACCTCTACTCTAGCAACACCATTAAAGGACCTAAGAGTTTCACCACAAAATCACGGGTTCATTCACGAGTTCATCTTCTATTGTGATATATGCTATCCTTTGGTCATTCTACACACAGTAAATTGGACAATCTTTAGACAAAACATTAAATAGATATAAAGCTGACAATAGAAAAGGCAATACACAAAAATAGTGGAGAATACGTCAATCGTGTAAGACTGCAGGGTCAAAGGTACAGGACTTTTTGAATGGAGGGGACTATGATATCATTGTCCTCCTGCCTCCCTGTTTCTTCTTCTGCTAGCTGCAATTGTCACAGTATCTGGGAGAGATGGATTTTTCTAGAAACAATACGCTGTTGTAAACTTTTCCTCCTATAATCCAAAGTATGGTCCAGCTGCCTGCACTTTTGTTCTCTCCTCATGGCAGAGGTAGGGGGAAAAGCTATTATGACTGTTCTGATGAGCACCTGCATTTCAAAATTTTATTCTGTACTTCATGACACTTTTATTGCTGACCTCAAAATTTTAGTTAATTATTTATATTATTTATTTATATGCCACCTTTCTCCTCACAAGGGACCAAATCTGGCTCTCAATGACTACAAATGTAAAACAAACAATAGTTTTAAAAATACTATATAAAAGACTTAAAATACTAAAAATGGCTATGTTTCAGTGTATCTCCAAAAGTCTGAATCTGAAAAACAGACTGCCTGTTGTCAAGATCTTATCACAGTCCATACTGCCAATGCTGATATATCTTTGAAATCCAACAGAGCTGTCTGATTGTCACATTTATTGTCAAGAAAATAGACCCAACGTCCCACACAGCTCTGCGTGGAGTTACACCCCGTGGTATCAAACATCTTTCAAACACATTCACAGAATCATTCTTACTCTTGCCTCTCTCTCTCTCTCTCTCTCTCTTACACACACATACTGTTGTGAAGAGAGAGATTTTCTCTCTTCCCCTCAACCCCACAAAAGATGGGATATGGTCACACAGCCATTCTCTCACACAGTCTTTCTGTTAAGATAAAGACATAAAAGGGTGTGTGTGATGGCCTCAGAACTGTTTCTCATGCTACTGAGATCCATCCACTGCTGCTCCTCCATTCTCTTCAACTCTGCCCACCATTTCATTTTTTCAGCTGGGATCCACTACGTCAGGTAACCACCACTATAACTGTGCACTTCCACTCATGTCTGCAAAGGCTACTAATGTTTTGTTTTGTTTTTGAAATGGCAAATAAACTTCTAAACGTAATTGGG